AGTGAGGGAAACATCAATGTGTGGTTGCCTCTCCCATGTCTCCTCCTGGGGACCTGGCCTGCCACCCAGGCATGTGCCCTGACTGGGAATTGAACTGGTGAACCTTTAGTTCGCAAGCCAGTGCTCAAGCCGCTGAGCCAAAAAATATGGAACACTTCACGAATTTGCATGTCATCCTTGTGCAGGGGCCATGCCAATCTTCTCTGTATCGCTCCAGTTTTAGTATATGTACTTCCAAGTGAGCACAGAAAACTTTTATTAATGTGTGAACCACGTGCAGTAGCTACACCTGTGTAACCACTGCTCAGGTTAGGAAATAGAACATTCAAACAAAACATATATGTGGGCATTTCTTGAACTTATGAAGTATAGAAGTATCCAAGTGCTTAAGCTTTAAGGTGGAGGGGGAACCACATGTAATTAGGGCCTTATTTAATTAATTATCTTACTTGTATCACAACACCGACAGAAAATCTGGTATATTTATTTTTAAGGGGTGTAGAAATGGTAGAGGAAAACCTAGAGAACCTTTTACAGGACTCACAAGCATTAAAGCAGGGCTTTTCCTACAAAGTTGTTCCCTACGTGCATTCCCTCATGTTCTATTGGGCTCACTGTTCTTCCTCGTTCTAAGGACCCCACTCCTTTACTTGTCTCCTGTTGCTAAGCCAAACACTAGAAAACGTGCTGCGTTAGACTGAGGAGCAGGAGAATGGAGTATGTGAAACCAAATAAAAGACTGCTCTATTTAGTGCTTAGGTTTTATTTCTACCTTCCCTCGCTAAGTAGGAACTCAGTTTTTTTTCTCCTGATAAAACCCATTTTGTTTCTCATTAAAACTTAACATACACTTTTTTCTGTTACTGGACTTACTGACGGTCCCTTAGGTAAGTAGGGAGAGAGACGTATCTGCTTTTGTGATGGGCCCTTTTTTTTTCGGTCTTACACTGGCTCAAGCAGAGTTGCTGTTCATTTGTTTTAAGTGCCCTCTACCTCTAGTCATCACTGTACTGAAGCTGTTAACACGCTGTTAATGTGGGAAGCCATGTGGATTAAAAGAGAAATATCCTGGGCAAAGCAGCAGGAATGAGAGGAACGTGCACCATTCTTGCTGCTGGCATCGTTTCCTTGCTCCTGAGTCTAGCGGCGTCAGTGTGATACAGTGGAGGGCGCTCTGTTTTGGTAGAAGTAAGTAGTTTTCTGATCCTGAATAGTGTGCAGACCTGGTGCATGTGTTACCTTCCTTCTGCCGCCACGTCTTCTCGTATCTCTAGTTTCCAGCACATGCGAATAAGCCCTTGCCTGTTGTTAGATCATTGACTGTGGAAAACGTTAATATTTTTTGCCTGATACCTTTTATATAACATCCATTTTCTAGTCTCAATTCCAGCCTTAATACATAAGTTTACATTTTCTTAATATTTTGTTTGAGATCCCGTGGACCAAAATTTTTTACGTTCTGTTAATAATTTCATATTCTCACTTTTGAAACTCTTTATTGTCAGTCATCTGCTTTTCATCTGTGAAAGGCTCATTAAGCACTGTTTTCTAGCCCCTAGAATGGGCACCTGTGAGATAATAAAAAATCGTCTGCCCTTCTGAGCCTTCCTGACCTTGTCCTATGTATATCTTTATCTGGCTCTTTGTTAATATCCTTTAAGTATGTTTCTTTGAGTTCTTTGAGCCACTCTAGCAAATTAATTGAACTCAAGGAGGGTGTCATTGGAACCTCTGATTCGCCAGTTGGTCAGAAGCTCGGGTGATACACCTGGGCTTGGGATGGGCATCTGAAGTGGACAGTGGTGGGGACCGTCTTGTGGGCCTGAGCCCTTACCCATGGGATCTGACACTGTCTGCAGGTAATGTTAGAAATGAGTTAAATTGTAGGATATTCCACTGGTGTCACAGAAATGCTTGCTTTGGGGAGCCCGTCCCCGCACACACTTACTGATTTACTTCCGACTTGGTGATCAGAAGTAAAGTAGCATGTGTGAGTAGTAAGAGACTCACAGGAGATAAACAGATTAGGGGAGAACAGAACAAGGCTTTTTCCTACTCGGGAAGGAGAACTTGAGTTTTTTTCCATTATAGGATCATACTCCTTACTCTAAATAGAACTAACCAAGGAAACTGAGGCAGTAGACTTACTAGCAGATGAAATTCCGCAATTAAAGCTGCAAGGCTAGAAATTGTTGAAAAGAAAGTTGGTATAGCTGGAGAGTGGTATGAAAAGTTAAATGTAAGAGAGAGGTAGGCAGAAACCATGTCAAACGGGGCTGAGTAAACTTTGATTAGAAGTTTGAATTTTTAAGTGTAATGAGAAGTTATCACAAGGTAAATTCTTGCTGTAAAGCAAGAGAGACCTGGTAAGACCTTGCAAAAGAGCACTCTGGTCTGCTCTCTGGAGAACAGATTGGAGGAAGCCGGGAGTGGAGGTGTCTCTATTTGGTGGTTTATGCAGTGCTACAAAGTAGAGTCAGATTTGACTTGTCCACAGTATCCATTATGGTGATAGAGACAAGCAGAAATTCAGAGATAAATGTGACAGTGTGATAATGAATTGGGGGTTGGAAGAGTACCTGAGAACCAAGGTCTAAACTGAATGCCAGGTTTCTGGCTTGAGTCACTAGCTAGGTTGCTCTTTCTTCAAATGAGGGCATCTGGATGAGAGCCTGGTTTAGATTTTGTTTTGTTTTGGTTTCTCTGTTTTTGTTGGGGATGCACTCAAAAGTTTGGTGTTAGATATCTTAAGTTTGAGTTGCCTGTTGGACTGCCAAGAAAGGTTGTGAAGGATGCAGATGTACTTGGGGTTTCCAGACTCCGAGGGGTCATTGTATGTGCTAGCAGTGTTGAGGTAGAATTTGGCATTGAACCTGCGCAGGCAGGTATAACTGTAATATTTTCCCTATAAGAAAAATATATGTAAGGTTTTTTGGTCAGCTTGATTCATTATACATGAGATTTCTATTGTATTAAGTTGTTAGTTTAATTACATAGACATGCTCTAAAATAATTTAAAATATTACTTGGGAGATTTTTCTTATTTCATGATAGTTTTATTCAGATGCTTCATATAAATTTTTGACGTCAGTGTGTTTATCGTTAACAGAGTCCCCTTTTGATCATATAACACTGTTTTGCAGAGCACATGATTTTCATTTTGGTCTGAGCTTCGTGACATGCAGCTCTTCCCAGGAACTTAACTCTAGGCCACTAGAACCATTTCATGTAACTGGAATAGCATTAGCACAGCTCAAAAAGCATTGTCCTGAAGGTGCATATTCATGATTACTTTGTCATTGTTTATTGCACAGCTTTGTTTTCAACAGTGTCCAACATATACAGTGGTGAGGTTATACCTCAGCCCCATAATTACCTAATCTCTAGTAAATTCTTTTACATTCCTTTTTACAAAACAAGAACCAGGTCTGTCAAGTGACTTCGCTAATCATCCAGAATAAGCATCGGTTGCTGCTTTTCCAGCCAGATGTCTTTTCCAAATAGTTCTGTACCAGTCACTGGTCATCTCCTTTCTCAGTGGTGTTGTGGTGTGTCTGCATTGGGCAGTGTTGCAGTTTCTTCTCGTGGGTCATTGCAGTTATCTTTTGTTGTCCTTTTTTAAAACTTTTTTTGGTAAGATTTTATTTATTTATCTTTAGAGGAGAAGGGAAGGAGAGAGGGAGAGAATATCAATGTATGGTTGCCTCTCATGGGTCCCCTGCTGGGTACTGGCCTGCAACCCAAGCATGTGCCCTGACTGGGAATCAAACCGCGATCATGTGGTTTGCAGGCCAGCACTCAATCCACTGAACTACACCAGCCAGGGCTAATTTTTATTGTCTTAATAATGGCATTTTCCCCCCTGTGTATGTACACTCAAAGGTATTTAGTGGAATGGTTCTATAACAGCCTTTGTAAAGATCACTGTTGGGTGTAAAAATTCAAGTTTTATTTAAAAATACTTAGTGAATTTCCACTATGAATTATTTTATTCCATTTCCTTGCTCATATTTTTCAGGGGATCTAGATTTATTAAACTTTTCCATGACCATGCAGAGAATGGCTACATAGAAAGAATATGTTTCCATTTGAGTGACAAAAGTATTTGCAGCCTTGGTCCTGGAAATCTAGAGAGGGAAAAAACAAACTAATTTTAGTCTAAATGTCACCACTTTGTGCCTCTGACACAGTAGAAATCTGGGAGTAAGACTGATAAATCAAGGCTGTTTCTTTTGCCATTTCCTTTCACTAGACTGTTGCTCTTTGCTACATCCCGGTAAACAACATAAGCAGAAGAGTATAGCTAAGAGAGTATTTTATTTGGTTGTAGCTTTTAGTGCTTAAAAACTTTTTATTTCTTTAAATTATCATAATTTGATTGACCGCCTGTATTTAAGATGCAACAGTGTGAAAACTTCAAATATTAATTGTGGTATACAAATAGTATAATTATTGTCTGGTTAGGTCTGAAGAAACTGTAAAGTGATTTATTTTTTCTTGGGCCTGCAACTGTGAAAAACTGTGGATCATCAATTTTATATTATGAAACTGTTCGAAAGGGTGACTGACAGTTTTGTGTGTGTCTGCACGCCTCCTCTCCTTCTCTGTCCCAGGGAACGAAGGTGCGATGCAGACGTGGGAACCCATCACAGAGAAGAGATTTCAGGCATGTGCTCTGTGACGATGGACACATAAAAACACGGAAATGTAAAATGCTCACTGAAAAAATACTAATAAAAATGGGAAAAGAAGAAAGAAGCTAAAATTCCCATTTAATCTAAGGTTTACTATTTAGGCTAAGTGAATATTAGAGTATTTCAGTTACTCGTGCCCTTGGAGATTGATTTTTTTATCTTTCTAAAGGCATTTTGTTTTCTGAACACTTGTGGTTAGGTTCCTAATGATACAAAAGGTCAAATAGTTTTAAGTCTGCATGGTTTTTTAAGTTGAGTGAATAACACAAGGAAGAATGGTTGATTTTTAAGTGCGTATTTTTTTTCCCTTGTCACGCCACCGCCTGAAGCGAAGCAACAGGACATGTTGCCACTTCACCCAGAAGCAGTGTTCCGCTCTGCCCTTTCTTGACAGCTCAGTGGGTCATTAGCGAAAGGTCCAGTGAGTGCTTTTCAAAGGAGCTAAGTACATATTTTTTTAAAACAAGGAAAAATCACTTTTCATAAAGTTTCTGCAATTCATATACTTTACAGACAGATACTTTTACATACCCAGAAAAAATGTTTCTTTAGGAACTAAGTCAAGAGTAAGAACTATAATTTTACTTGTGCACATTTGACTAAAAAGTTTACTGAAAATATGTGGAATAGTTGTAAATGGTCAGTTGATCTGTGCTTACTGGTGAATTTTCCACATTTTCACCTGTTTATTTCGTCTTTGTATATGTGTAACATCACTTACCACATACCTGAAAACATAATTAAAAACAAAAGTAGCAGATCTTTGAAAGGGCCTGTCTTCTTTCTGTAGCCTGGTTGTAACTTGTGCCTGTGTGAATAAACGTTCTCAGCCAAGTTTGTAAAATAAGAGAAGGAAAAGAGTTTGTGGCAAGTAAAAAGGAAGAAAATGTTCTGCTTGTTAACATTTTTTTCCCCTTTGGATTTACTTCACTTCTGCTCTTTTACTTTCATTCTCTTCTTTCATCCTTGGTGTTAAACTCTGCTTGCATTTTCTCAAATGACTGTTTCAGAACTAGGTTCCCACACAGCTGTCTTCTGTTCCATGTTCTGCCTCATGTCTAGTGTAGAGTAGTAAGTTGTAATACAGTATCTACAACTTAGCTCTCTATGCTTGTAATTTAATATGAAGTAAAAATGAAGTAGAAAAGCTTTGGGGGGTGATTAACTCCCATGATTGATTGTTTTCACATTATGCATAATAAACATGTAAGTACAACCTATGGGCTCTGCTGCAAGTTACTTACAGTCTTAGGGAGAGCAGGCATGAAAACCTAAAGGACATTAGGAAAAGGTGGTATAAATGATGCCGCATGAGTTGCATGCCAAATGCAACCTATTGCAGAGGTGTTATGCTACTAGAAATTTAAAGGACAATGCTCAATTACAGTGGGTTCAGGGGTGGGCAGCAAAGGCTTCACTGAGGAAGTGTGAGTTGAATGGAACTATTGTATCAGGAAGTGCTGATTTAACTGCTTGAAAGTAGTGAAATGAAGGGTAAAGCAGTGTACCTTTGGAGAGGTGGAGTCATAGAAATTGCAGAGGCTCTTGGTAGGCCTTGAAAGTTCTTAAAGGAGAAGGAATGAAAGGTAAGAGACTGGAATAGAAAGCATTCATTTGCATACTTGAAGCCCTCAGTTAAAAAGAAACAGGTCAGGTGGATCCCATTTAGCACTGTGAAATGAAAATACATTTGTATCAAAATTGTGCCTTGTTTAGGAGGAGCATCTCCTAACACAATTGGTGAAATATGAGTTAACTTGAAAATTCTAAGATTTTGATTGGAGGTAGAATGATCAAGCCCCTTGGGACCAAGGATGCAAACTAGAGTTACGATTTTTCCAGTACTTCATTAGCATCATCCAGGTGAAAGGATACACTGGCTTTAGGTGTGTGCCAGGTAGTGAGTCAGAAATACCTGTAAAACTGCAGATGGGAGTTAACCATTCAGAATACCATAACTTGACTTAAAAAAAGAAAATCTCATTTGTTGTTCAATTTCTTTGTCCTTCCTGCAGACTTTCAGTTCATAATGAGCTCCTCAGTTTGCAACACAATTTTTTCTGGTTTTTTTTTTCCTGTAAATCATAGAACAGGTAACATTCAAAAGTGCAACACACTTTCCTATGTGCACACAAAGTTGTGTGCACTAGACTTTAAGCTTCCTTTAGTTTCTGAGTTTCCTGAGGGTGGCCATCTATGTTATCCCCAGGGCCTATAATGGTGGCAGACATATTTCATGGTCTCATGAAATGTTAACTAAAGCGAATGAACTTAACTCTGGTGAGTTATTCATTAGGAAGGGTTGGCCTGGCTAATATGACGTCTTATTCTAATAACTTCTTTCTTTATAAATTAATTGGTGTCCTGGTATAATCACACCTCGTACTTATTATTACTGCATGAGCCAGTCTTTCTGAAGTCTGCTCAAGGGACCCCACCAAAACGTAAAGCTTTAGCAGTAATATTCAGTAATCACATTGTTTTATTTTGTTTTAGCTCCAGAGTGTGTATATGGATTTTTTTTTTAACTGTAGTATAGAAGCTAGTGAGGAATAGTTCAGCTAATCTTTTCAGTACTCTAGATTACTGTGCCCTGGTTAATCACTTCTTAGTTAGGTGGTACTGGTTTGAGGGGTTAAGAACTGCATGAGACCTAAAATTACATGCTTTCTCTGTCTACCTTCACTTTTCTCCATTACACCTGACAGATGTCAGATGTCTACAGATGTCAATGAATGTACATGAGAGGACAGTTAGAAGATGACACACAGAGAATTCTAGTAAAGTATTTCTCATAACTCTAATAACATACAAAATGTTTGGGGTATTTTTTATTTGAAAAGAAAACCCAGAAAGTAATGCCTAGCTCCTGTTTTTTGTATTTGAAGACAGAGCGTATATTAGATTATCTGGGTACATGCCTTTTATCATTTCCTCTTTTTTTGTCCAAACCTATTTTCTTTTATTCCTCTGAGAGTTTATAGCTCTCTTTTGACTGTTGTATTTTAAATGTCTAATCACAGTTTAAAGCATTTTATTCAGAATAGTTGTATATTTTAAAATACAAGATTGATTCTTAATTTGTAAAAGACAAGGTTTAGAGTATTGTGAATAAGTTAAGCAAACAATATTCAGCACTTCATAATGAATACTGTTTAAAAGAAATAGATTTTAAAGCCTTTATTTTAAAGTGTTATTTTACACATTTAGAGGGAACATTTTTAAGATACTTAAAACGGAGAAAAGGACTGTATAACTTCTTGCTACTCTTTTCTTTAAATGTGCGTTCTGTGTGCCAGGAAAGCACAAGCCTTTCGTGTCTTTGTTATCCCTAATATTTGGGTGGTACTTTCCCCACACTGCTTAATGCGGTAATTGAGGTGCATCCTTTTGAGTGCTTTTTGAGCTTGAATTCTTTGAAGATAATCATATAACTTCTCCTTTTACCCATCCCAGAATGTGGCTACTTCCTTCCCACTCATTTTCTTCAGTTCTTTTTTTCTGTATAGAATTAGCTCTTCCCATCAAAGCCAGCTTTCATACCTTTCCCCTCTGGGCCGTAGTCATCCTCCCCTATTTTGAACTGCAAATCTGTGCCTCATCCCTGCTGGCAGTAATAGGTACTCCAGGGTGAGCATGGTTTTTCCAGTCTACTGGACTTCACCTCCCCACCCCACAAACTCCAGCTAGACAGATGTCTGCCTCTCATGTCCTTTTCTATGCAGCGTGTCACATTCTAATGACAAGAGTTACTGATCTACCACCGACTGAGACTGAGGTTGTCTCACCTCTCTTCTTTTACCCTCACTAGACAGTCGTCTGTCCAAGCAGGTAGAGCTAGAAATTCGGCTGGAGGCAAAGTCCTGAAGCAGGAGGGTCAAGTCCCAGGGTCGTATCACTTACTGAGCTCTCTGAACCTGAATGAGCAGGGCCAGGACAGTGGTCTTTCTTCCTGGACAGCATGAGCAGGCTGAGCAGAGGTTGGAACAGTGTCCTCCAGCTTGTGTGCGATCTGCTTCTGTGAATATCATTATCCGTTCTTTATTCTAATTTTTAACACCTTTTTTTGGTCAGTCTTTCATTAATTCTGTATTTTGGCTTTTAGTACATCTCAAGTTTCTGAACTCATAAGATTTTTCTTAGAACTTTTCAAGGTTTATTCTGGTTCTAGCAGTGTCATCTAAACAATCTCATCATTTTTGAGAAAGAGTTGAAGTTACTGCTTTTGGCAAGACTTGTGTAAAGTTTATTTTATCTCTGCTGCAGTCTGATTTATCAAAACCTGTTCTTAGCCTCAAACGCTATGACTTGTGAATGTTCATGTCTGAATTGAGGCCTAAGGTGCTAGAACTGCATCATTTATTAATTCAGCATAATGCTAATTACTTTTTCATAATTGCATGTAGCAAAGGTATGACTTAGTACCTTCTCAGAAACACGTGTGCTTGTCCTAGTAACACCACCGTACTGATCAGTATGACAGTTTGAAGTAAAACCTGTAATCAGATGAGCTGGTTGTCCAATTTTACCATTCTTCTTTCTCTAATACACTCCCTTGCAGTTAACACTCACCCATGTAGCAGAACACAGTCATTCTCAGGTTGCCAGGTATCTGTTAGGAAAATTCATAATCTGTCTTTTGAGCAAATACACAGTAGTCAGAAATGACACTGATTTCTTGTGAAATTTTTTGATGCTTTGAGGTGATGTGAGTAGAAAAGGCAGCTGAGTGGGTTCTTCCCGAACAGTATGACAGAAAGCACTGTAAAGAGCTTTGGAAGCTGTAGTTGAGAGGGCCTTTGTCTGTTTTAACTAACTGCGGTCAGTGGTTGAGAGCTGGCCTGAATGCCGCTGTGTTAAACAGGGCTCTGAGACCCTGCCTGCTTAGCATGCTCTCATGGATTAGGGGTGAACTGCTTGCAGTGAGAAGGGAAATGGCTTTTCCTCCATTTGTTTGCCATCCCTGACTCCAGCCTTCATTTTTACAAGGAGACCAACACCCTACAAAAATGAATTCACTTCAGTAGGATTGCAGAGTAGTTGAATTTTCAGTAAAAATTTGTTTTTTAAATTTTTTATTTAAAATTTTTTATTCCAGGGTGTTTCTCAGTAAGGCCTGATAATGTAGACTGTGTATATGTTTCTTCAGAGGCTCTTTCATTCATATATAAAGGAAACACAGTAACATCAGGAGTTTATAGTCCTGCATTAGAGTGTTATATGCAGACTAAAATGTACTCAAATGATATCACCTGGTTATTATTTGCTCATGTGATGATTTAGTTTTCTAAAATCTGATCACATTTGAATGTATAGACAAAGAGTTTTGACTTTACAGAGATGGGAATGCATGGCCCAAAGTGGTGACGTTGGGAACTACTTCACTCAACATTTAAAAATCACTTACACATGTTAATGCAGTATGAGAAACACCATAGAGCCCTGATAGGGGTAAGTTCTGTGGAGACAAAAGTTACAATTTATTCAGTTCGTTTTAAAATCAAGTAGTATGATTTAGTGTGGCCATGGGTGGGGTATGTACCCCCACTTTTTAAAAGTCAGGTTTATGAAGGTACACAATGCCTGTCCGGAAAGTATCCAGCCAGGTACTATGAAAAGCAGAAATTTGCTGAAGAAGATAGAAGATAACATTGCACATAGGACAATGACACCTCAGTCCTCTTCAAAGAAGACACTTTAAGACCTCACACAGTTCACCCACTCACCATCAGCTGCCCCCATCATATTTTCCTGAATCTCACTGAAGATCTGAAATCTCTTCTCTTTCAAAGGTGATTTTAGTTGTGGGAAAAGCCAGAAGTTGCAGGGCACCAAATCTTAGCTGTAGGGGGCTGAGTCACCTGGGTGATTTGATGTTTCGCTAAAAAACTGCATCAGACGTGATGCATGAGCAGACATGTTGCCAATCACCAGTTGCCCATAGCTGTGGCCTACTGAATCATCTGAATAGTTTCTGCAGAGGAATGTTCAATCTTAATACAAAATTTGATGCAGATTTGTTGCTCTACTCACTCAGTCATTTTGAATGTGACGGCCATACAGTCCACATGCTCACTCAACAGCATCTACCACCCGTACTGACTAGTACAGTGAAGTCATCATTGTTCACACATATGCATTCCCGTCCACTCTCCTTGGCTGCCAGCTTGCATGGGTGTCCACAAACTGTTCTCACTGTATTAACAATGGTTGATTTTTTTTTTGGACAGGCCTCATAGTTTACATATAGTGAAACCTCTTTTAAGCATGCAGGGTTTCTTTTTTTTTTCTTTTTCTCTTTCATTTTTAAGTGAGACAGGGAGAGGAAAGGAGACAAAGAAAAAGAAAACATTGATTTGTTGTTCCACTTGTTTATGCATTCATTAGTTGATTCTTGTATGTGTCGTGACTGGGAATTGAATCCACAACCGTGGCATATTGGGGTAACACTCCCACCAATTCAGCTAACCTAACCAGGGCCTGCATACAGTTCTGACAGATGTACGCAGCATGTACCCACTAACACACTCAAGATACAGAATATTCCCATCTCCCCAAAAAGTTCCCTTTAGGTTTTTGCCTGGCAGCCACTAATTAAATAAATAATTTTGCCTTTCTAGAAAGCCATATAAATAGAGTCTTAACAATGTGTAGCCTTTTGGGTATATTTTTTTCTTAGGGTATTATTTTTCTTGCATGTATCTGTTTTGTTCCTTTTTATTAAGCTGACTGCTATTCCATTAAATAAGTGTCCCATAGTTTTTTTTATTTATTCACTAGTTAATAGACATTGAGATCATTTGCGGTTTGGGATTTTTATGAATAACACTATAATAAATATTCATATACGGATCCAAAGATACTTGCTGTGGTCTTGGGTAAATATTTAGGAATTGCATTGCTTAGTAATATGGAGTGTGTTTATCTTCCTAAAAATTGCCAGTGTGTTTTCCAAAATGGATGTGCCATTTTTTATTCTTGCCACCATTGTATGGGAAGTCCTGTTGTTTCTCGTCCCTGCCAGCACTTGGTATTGTCAGTCTTCTTAATTTTATTTTTAATTAAAATCTCAGTGTGGTTTTAATTTGCATTTCTCATATAACTAATGATACATGTAGAGCATCTTTTTAGGTGCCGATATGACATCTCTATATATCTTTGGTGAAGTGTCTATTTAAATATTTGCCCATTTTTAAATTGAGTTATTTGTCTTAACTGAGTTTTCAGTTTTTTTTATATATTCTAGACCCAAGTCCTTTGTCAGATACATGTTTTACAGATATTCATTTCCCAGTCTATGGCTTGTCTTTTATTTTTCTGGATGGTATCTTTTTAAAAGAGTAGAGGTTTTTTAATCTTTAACATTTTTGTATCTTTACCTTTCTAGTCATAAAATCAACACAAGACTATTATAAGTTAAATAATATTAAAGCATCTCTTTCCTGTGTAGTCTATGCTTCTACTAGTTAAACACACTGATGATCTAGTGAAAGAAAATTTTAAAGTTATATGCAAGAAATAGTTTGAAAGTTTTTCTTGTATTTTAGAACTACGTTTCTCTTCATCATCAAGAGTATAGTTAGGAAAAAGAAAATACCTGTTGAAATACTCCAGTTTAACCTGTTGTGCTCTTCTTGTATTCTAGTGTTATCCAGGATAAGTTCTGTGGAATTATAAACATCTCAGTGGAGGGCCTGCATGATGTCATGACGGAAGATCATGAGACGGGAACTTACAAAGAGTAGGTGGATGGATCCTTTAATTGATTGCACTTGGACAAAATGGGGTGGGGTGGGGTGGTAATTAATTATATCCTGCATGAGTTTTGTTTCCTATCACTATAGAAAAACAGTATAGCAACTATTTGTTAGTTTTCTTATAATATCTATTGTTTAATCTTGAGATCAGATTTGTTATAGTAAAACTCTGAATTGGGCTTCTTTGGTCTAATTATTTTGTGATTTGATTATTTTTAAATCCAAGTGCATTTTAGCATATGAATTTTTTAAAGATGTTTTGAGTATTTTTTTTATCAAGCAGAGCTAAGTTTGAATCTCTTCTACTTCACTGACTTTATTTTTTATTGTATTTTTTCCATGATCACTTATCCCCCCTATACCCTCCCCCCACCTCAGTCACCACGCTCTTGTCCTTTTCCTTTTTGCTTGACCCCTCCACTCCTAATCTGCCCCGTACCCCCTCCCCACCTAGCTGTCATCCTGCTCTCTTTAGTCTGTCTCTGTTTTGCTTGGTAGTTCAATTTGTTCATTAGATTCCAGAGTACGTTCTGTTTTTCAAATAAAAAGTTTCCCTGCCTTTCACGCAAGTCATGGGGAAAGGGGGGATGAGTCAGCATCCTGTTTTTGTATTTGCCTGTTTTCAGCGTCACTGGCACCTTTAAGATATTAGAGGGTCATGTGATACTTGCCTGGCTCTAAAGAGAATAGTTAAAATCATGTTATCATGAGTGCTGATAATCTCATATGTGTATAACTGTTAATCTGAAATTTTTTTTAATCAATCATTGTATCCTTTTGTAGTTAGTAGAATTACCTCCACTTCTTATTACTATTGATAAAGGGCATGTTTCATATAATGACAAGCAAGGCTTTATGATTTTCAGACCACTATGGGTTTTCCTCAGTAATGAATTGAGCCTGTTTTCCCATCTATAGCAAATGGGAAAGATTGCTGTTTGAATCATATTTTGTTGAAAAATATAGAAAGCAGGTATATGTTGTTGAATCGTATTAAAAATGTGTAAATAAAGTGTCTGACATGTAACTTAACTTTAGAGAACATAGGAGTTAAGATGAAGTAGGAACCTCAGACTTCTGTGATTACAAACCAGTTTTTATTTTCTTCTTATAAATACCCAGAAATGGAATTGCTGGACTATATGGTAGTTCTATTTCTAATTTTTTGAGGAGCCTCCATATTGTTTTTCATAGTGGTTAAACCAACCTAACCTTCTCATCAGCAGTGTGCATGGGTTCCCTTCTCTCTGCATCCTCACCAACACTCATCATTCTTTGTCTTGATAAATGCCATTCTAATAAGCCTGAGGTGATACCTCACTGCAGTTTTGATTTGCATTTCCCAGATGATTGGTGATGTTAAACATCTTTTCCTGTACCTGTCTGCCATCTGTGTGTCTTCAGATGTCTATTTAGATCTGCCCATTTTTAAATTGGATTTTTTTGCCATTGAGTTGTATGAGTTCTTTACATAGTTTGAATATTAACACCTTTTCAGTGGTATGATTTGCAAATATTTTCTCTAACTCAGTAGGTTACCTTTTCATTTTGTTGATAATTTTCTTTGCTGTGCAGAGGCTTTCTAGTCTGACGTTTCTGTTTGTTTATTTTTGCTTTTGTTACCTTTGCTTTTGGAATCAGATCCCCCCCCCCCCAAAATCATCATTAACACCAATGTCTTTATTTTCTTCTCGAAGTTTTATTTCTTACATTGAAGTGTTTAATCAATTCTGACCAAATTTTTGTGTATGGTAGTCCAGTTTCATTTTTTGCATGGGTTTCTTTGTGTGTTTGTATTTTAGTTAGTAGAGATTTTATTTCATTAAATCAGAGAAGTATATTAATGAGGCTTGAAATTTGTCTTATGCTTGTCATTAGTGGTTTTTCTTTTTTTCCTTAAATATTTTGTTTTTAGGCAAATTGGAAATGAGATTTACAACCCTTGCCAATGTTTGGGAAATAAAAAGGAAGAGAGGGTTTAGTCAGCACTGTAGGATGCTTACGAGGTACTAAAATTTATTAGAAAAAGACTCAAGCTGCAGTTTTTTTAGCTAGAAGGTGTAAAACATACTGGCCATAAAGAAAGTCATAAATTTAGGCTCTAACAGCATTTTTGTCCTCCTTCACTTAATACATTGGCCCACCAAGTGGTTCTTCAGAATAAAACAGAATACAAGAAGAAACCGTGGTTCCGTAATTCTGACATTATCACCTGTATGTTACCCAAATTTGCATAGGTCCCAGGGACCTCGTCCATGGTTCCTCTTCCCTAGTTCTCCTTTTCTGATTAATTCTGCTGCATTTCTTAAAAGCCTAATTTCTTACAGAATTAACTTGGTATGTTCTTCTGTGCTAGCCCTCAATTTACATTACTGGCCTTCTCTCTTACCTCCTTAGATTCCTCATCATTCCTTGTATGTGCCATTCAGTTTTACACACGTTGCTTGAATCATAACATTATTCTTTCCTGGGCATGTGATGCCCTCAGTCTTGCCCTGTTTGGCAAATACCTACCTCTAGAATTCATCCCAGACTCTCAGGAAGAATTCATTGCATCCTTCTCTGTTCCTTCATGGCACTTTGTCTATACTGTTGATATACAAAGGGCTGGCCTCTTGTAGTACAGGCTCTCCCTGTGAGGTAAGTGTTCTAGGAGCCCATCTCTTATCAGTGTGCCAGCTTGTATTGTTGTGAGAGGCTACATTTGGCCTCAGTGAATTTTTTTTGAAGACTCAGCATGTTTCTCCATTGCATGATGGGTGACTTACGAGCACACCTGCCCACATTGCACTGAGTGTTCAGCAGTTTTTGATCAAAACCAGCATGTCCCCTGTTCCCCACCCTCCCTATTCACCCAGTCTTGCCCAAGCGACTTTTGTTTGTTCATTTGCCCTGATGAAAAAGTCCTCAAGGGGAAGTGTTTTGCCATTGTGGAAGAGGTGAAACAAAAAATGGCAGAATCACTAAAAGGCTAATGAAAATTGATTAACTCAAAAACCATTTTGAGCAGTGGAAAAAAGTCTCAATAGGTGTATTACATCAAATGGAAAGTACTTTGAAGGTGAATGAAGTTTAAACATTTAAGAGTGAAGGCACAGTTTTTTATAAATACTGGTTTCAGGGGTGCCCCCTCGTACAACATGTAGTTAGATGCTTTCATATGTGATCTAGTGGACATAGAGGACATGAGGCAATGCATAAGAAGGCTCCTTTTGACCAAAACTATTAACACAGGATTGAAGAAATTTAAGGAAACTCTGTATGCATATACGGCATATGCATATACGGCATATGCATATAAAACTCTGAGTTTGCTAACTAACTACCAGGGTAAAAAGAGAAACATTAGGAATGAATGTGTATGTTTTCAAGTAGAAGGAAATAGATGTATCAGGAGAGGGAGACTTTCTGGGCATGAGCACAGAAATGAATTTTTGATAAGGTATTTATATAAAAGGACTGATAGCTGCAAGTAAGAGAAACCATGAGTCAACTGGCTTTAACAGTAAAGAATTAGTATCTCTGACAACACAAGGACTAAGGGTAAGTGACTCAAGGATTAGCTGTTTGAATCCTCACAGTGTCTTCAAACACCTGGTTCTTTCTGCTCCATCTCCTGAGCACATTCACTTCTTTTGTGCACTGATTTTTCCCTCATCACAGTGTAGTTGTTGGCATTACAATTCATGACAATGACAGTGCCAGGCAGGTAATCTCTTTTCCCTATATCTTTGTTGCCTGTGTTTTTTTTAACATCAAAGAAAACCTTTCCTAGAAGTTACTTCATCAGACTTCATGTCTAATTGGCTAGGGTTTATTGAACATACTCCTGTTGAAGGCATCATTGACCAGGGGACTTGTGTTCATCTGATTGCTTCTTGAGCTGCTGGCAGTGGGGCTGGGATCAGCTGAAGCATCTGTGCCACAGAAAAGGAGGATAACTGGACAAATTCAGGCAACCAGAGTGTCTCCCACAGATTCCATTGAACACTGTTGTCAGTTCTGCTTTTATTACAACATCCAGAAGTGAGTTGTATAGGTTAAATAAAAGGTGTTATATCACAAATACATTTTAAACATAATAATTTTCAAAGCTTTGAGTCGCATGCCAACAGTGTTGGTGGTTTGGCACGGTAGAGTTTCTTGTTGGAAAAGGTGCTGACGCGGCGAGAGAGCCTGGTCCCATTCAGTGAGGGAGCAGAGGGTGCGGAGGTGGCTGCCGCGTGCACATGCCCATCCTCCCCATCTGAAACTGTCGTTACCGGTGTATTGCTAGTATTACATTCACAGCCCATGCATTTTAGCTGATTTGAAATGATTTCATTCTCACTATGCCTTATATGTAAACATTACTTCCCTGTCTTTAGTCTTTGTCAGCAAAATAAGATTTGACTTTTAATTGGGGATTTTGCTGTAGGAGAGAATTCTAACTTCGGTCTTGTCTATTCAAAGAAATTTTTTTTATTTTCCACTTTCCAAATGAATGCAATTTGCAGGGCTGCAAAGCAAAACATTCTGCCCTGTGCGTAGTTTGTAGTTAGTGGGAAAAAAATGTGTGTGTTGTATATTTATATCCAGCATATACTTCATTATTAATATGATAGATACATCTTTTAATTCCGAGAAAGGAGAACAGAGAGTTTTTACTATACAAGTAAGTTAACAGATTTTGGAATGCAATGAAAGAATTTGATTTGTTACAAAACATAGTTCCTTGGAGATCCAGATTTACTGCAGTTAGAGGTCAAATCTACAGCAGGCATAAAATTACTAGTGCGACAGAACCCCATCATATTATTTAGTTCTGAAATGCACACTTGAATCTAGACTTTTCTGAGACATTTCAATTTTTTAAATAGCTTTTGGTTTGAAACAATAATATAATTTTTCACTTTGTGCCTGAGTCCCTTGGCCAGCTAGTTGTGCTGCATCACTTGACATCCCAGTGGACAAAAGTATGGCAGCTCGCAGAGGTTAAGGCCACGCAGAGAGTCAGGGATTGAACTTTTACTGTTGTTCAGGGTTTCTGATTTCAGTCTAAGATTCTTACTATTTGATCCTGCCAGTGTGTACTGACTGGGTTATAGGCAGTGGCCCAGAAATGTGTGTGTTTTTTTTAAATAGTGGGGCATAGGACACACGGGACATTCATGGCTCCTGCAGCAGTGAGCCTGATCAAGTTTCTGGTGTCCGCATCAGTCCTCAATCCTGAAATAAAAATTATTTACAAAGCTGACTCAGGAATCATCCTTTCCTTATATTTGCTAAAAATATAAGAGAAACCAGGCTTTCATTGCCACAGTTTATTGGTTAGGGTGAATTACTAAATGAATTACTAAATTCCATTCTTCTAAACTAGGAAACAGCGAGGGTGTGTTCCCCTTAACTTGATTCACTAGACACTGTTCATTTCGTGTCTCCCCGGCCCCAGTGTTGACTAACTAGAAAACTGTATTTGTTATCTCTGCTAATGGCAAAGAGCAGTGATGCAGATAATCAAAATAAAATGATTTATAACTGTTCGGCAGGCACAAGTGCCATCGGGAACAGGTTCCTCATGATACAGTGGTAATGTCACTTGGAGCAGAGTTGATTGCTACATAATCTGTAGTGGTTTAATGATGTTATGTCTGAAATGATTGCTCCTGTTATGAAACTTGTATAATAATCTACAAGCAAATGAACACTAGTGGTAAATGCAGTATTAATTTTAAGTGTCATTTTTTTTAGAAAGACAAAGGGTACTCCTTGCTTGCCAAGTGATATATGGTTCAAAGTGGCCTATAAATAAATATCTTACAATTTACTGTCTTAAATACTGAAGTACATTGTTCTAAATATTTTTGATGTGGCACTTTTTGAAGTGAAATATTTTTGTAATTAAATTTATTTTTACTTATAAACCTAACTTGTCTGGCTGTTCTGTACATTTTTGTTACATAGAAGCATTAATGTGCTTACTGATATTGAGGGTTTGTTTTTAGTATGTTCAAGTCTTTAAAATGTATTTAAAACATTTTTTTAAAAACTATAGCTGTATGTTAATGTCTCATCTTGAAGAACCAAAAGTAACAGAAGATGAAGAACCACCCACAGAACAGGATAAGAGGAAAAAAATGGTAAGTTACGAAAGCAGTTTCTAAAAACTTGGGAGAACCTTGTGTCATCCTATTCTGTAGGCCTGAACACATCTGTCGGTCCATTCACGTATCTATCCATCCATCCATCCATCCATCCATCTCCTGTTGTAAAGGTAAGATAAGCTAACTGAGCTTTGAAATTTGGCATTTATTCCTGAAACAGATTAATTTTATTCCTTATACAAGAAGTTAAGTTTAATTCTTGATACAAAATAATTGTTTCTTACCTTAGCCAAGCAGAGGGTTTGTTCTTTTACTTGCAGAAAACATGTGACCCTCAAGTCTTTGTAATTTGTGATGCTGAGTCTTCTGTTTTGTGATGATTTACTGAAGTTACTTCATTTCAAGTTAATTTCTGGATCTTTGCAATGAATTTTTCCAGAGATGTGTCACAGGATTTTATAAAGATGCCTTTAAATTAACTGCTGCAGTGTTTTGAAAACCATTACTTCTTGCTACCAGAATCTGATAAGAAAGAATAGAACAAAAACAAACATCGGAAATGTCTTTCTTTTAAAATTATTTATAATCCTGAATTTTTAAATGCTTATTTTAACACAGGAATAAAAAATAGATACAGAAATGAACTTTTCCTGTCTTTTTGTTCCTGGAATCTCTTCCAGTTAGTCTCCTGGCCTCTCCAGTTAACTTCATTATGCCTTCTTTCTAATTCGCAAATGAGAAAAGCAGTATCTGCCTCACAAGTAGAATAAATAAATTAATATGTAAGATGTCATTAGGTAATTCTGAGTACCTAGTAATTATGTAAATGTTAGCTATCATTGTTATTTTAGTCTGCTCATGATATTTACTCCTTGAGTTGTTCAGCTTTATACTGCAAGGGTTTCACCCTCAGCATACAGCTAAACTACATTGCTCTGGCTGTCTTCTTTTACTCTGTGTTTTAAGTTTGATGCCTTTTACTTCGCTTTTATGCTGCAGATCACCTTCCTAGCACCTAGTGTAGAGGAAAGAACCATATCCAAGAATTCATAAGACCTGAGTTCTAATCCTGTTTGTTAAATGCAAGTCACCTTGTTTCTTGAGAGCTGCTTCCTCATCTGAGAAATGCTGGGAGAATTAATGGACGCCTAGGGCCTGTGAGCTGAAAAATGATTTTTTTTGCTCTTAATATTATTTCTTTTCCCAGTATATAGCATTCTAGTGAAGTATTCAGTTGTGAATATACCTCTGGAGTTATTTCTCCTGTGAAGTGAGACTGCTGATTGGTATCCCAAACCCATGGACGTTGTGTTTTCCTCACTTGGAGTGATAACAGCCTATGTCATAACCTAAACAGTTTCTTCCTGCGTCTCTCACCGCCTCTTTTTCAAGCCCTGACTGTCATTGGTGTTACAGAAAAGTGTAACATTATTCTTCTTAAGATTCCGAACTTACAAATAATAGATATTCTGCTTCTAATTAGTCATCAGGTTTTTTGCACACTTTATTAACATCAGTTTGTCTGATAGTTCTATCCTTAGCAAGTTAATCTTACCCAAATCTGTTTTTCATTATATATAGTAGTAATATCATACAATAGTAATTTTAATTCTAACTTTATTTTGAAGGTAAGTAAAATACTATCTTAAGAGCAGTGTGAGAATGTAATTTAAAAATAACACTAAGTTCCTTGATTCAATTTTGTAATCCTAAATTTTATTTGAAAGCTGGTTGTTTTCATCGTTGTTCTAATTATAGGTACTATTGATTTATAGAACAACCATTTTTTTAAGTGGGTGATTTTATTTGAAATCAGTCATCACGCTATTTGATATAGATTTATGTTGTTATCTCTACTAAGATTTTCAGTGCCTTAGATGTAAGTCTTAGTTTTATGCTGATGATAGCATAGCATTTATGATTAGAGCTGGGAGTATGTATTTTGGTCCTGAATAAATCTAATTATGAATACAAGGCTAATTTTTCAATAACTTTTCAATAACAAAATTAGTTTCAGCTCAGGGTTACAAGTATAAATTATATATATTCTTTCAGTAATTATGTCATCATTCTTGTTCTGTGATATCTTTAACATTAGAAATTTTTTGAGAACTATCTAGATGTTTCTTGGTTGTAGTCTCAAAGGAAGTGTTTGCTTATAGATGATAATAAATTAATACTTAAAAGAAAAATCTAGCATAGCTGATTTTTTTCATTTTAAAATGAAACTATTTATTTACTAGGAAGAGAACTGTGTCTGGTTGGTTTTGAAGTTAGGCGATCGGCAGTCTGATTTGCTCACTGTTAGTGTTGTCTTGAAGCAGCCTTAGAATGCGGCCTGATTTCAGGAGCCGCTTTGCTAGAGGAGGGTGTGGTGGTTTGTGCTCCGTGCCCAGGGAGAAGAACTCAGTGAGACTACCCACAAAAAGGTACATGCGGCAGAATTCGTGGAAAGGATCATTAACACAGTTTTTATAATTGCGTTCCCTGTGTAAAGAAGCCAGAGGAAAAAGCCTGAGTATGTTAAGTAGACACTTGGAAGGTATTTTTGAAAGCCTCACATCAGCCTTCTGGGGATTAAAAACTACAGTATCCCCACATCCTACAAATTTAGACACAAGTGTTAAATTCCTACAGTATCGGCGAGACTGATGCAGGGTAGGTAGGTATTCCAGAAGAAAAGATTATTAGTAAACTTGAAGACAAAACAGTAGAAACTATACAAAAATAAAATGTAAAAAAAGACTTGGAGAAAAAAACACTTCAAGCAGCTTAATATACAAATAATCCAAGTCCCCAGATGAGAGAAGGGAGAAGAAATTTTTGAAGAAAGAATTGGTAAATGGTATTTTTTTTCCAAATTTAATGAAAACTGTGAACTCGCAGATCCAAGAATCTCAGAGATCTTCCAAGCACAGGAAACATGAAGATTCATCAATGGGTACCATAATCACATTGCCACTTCAGTCCAGAGTTAGAGAGCATGTCTTTGGAATAGTCAGAGGGGAAGACAGGTAAAAATGATAGCAAACTTTTCATTAGAAACAGTGTCGGCAAGCATCTTTAAAATTCGAAAAGAAAAATACCATTTGTTTTATTTTCATAATACTAAAATAATCTTTAGAATAAATTTTTATTATTGAAAATAAAAATTGTTTTATTTAATCTCAATTTGTTAAGTGTTCAAATTTTATTTTGATAATAATAGATCTCTTTTCTTCTGATTTTTCTTTATTCAAGGACAATGTGAAATATTTATAGGGTATTCACATAATCAATCCCTAACAGTATTATAGATGAATCCTGAAAATCTTATGCTAATTGTCAGATTTGTTTTACACTATTGTTATAATATGACAATACTTTTTATGCTACTGCTTCAATGAATCTACAAAAGTATAGGCTTGAATGCTTTATAATCATTAACAAAAAATATTCACATTTGTTACTTTATGACTTGCTATCTGACTCCTCCCCATACCCCCCCCATTTAGAATTGATGAAATTATTTCATTTTTCTCATCCGCCTTTGATGTATAGTGATTTTTTAAAGCTTGGAGATAAATAATAAGAAATGGCCAACCTATTCAGAAGCTAGTTTGTTAAGAAAATCAGATAGGTCTAAATTATTATGAATATTTTTACTGATATTCTAATAAAAACATTGTAAAAGGTAATTTGTTCCTTTGCCTCCTAGAAATCTTCAAAACTTAATTCTTAAATTTTAATATTAAATAACAGTTTAAAAAACAGTAATTATAAGTTGTTACTTCTCATTTTACCAAGAAAGCAATTATACTGTTAAAGTATGTCCCTATCACTTATTTGCTGTTAGTTATATGTTGGTTGTCACTTACTTATTTTCAGTCAGATCTGTTTACCATAAGGTCCATTTCATTTAAAATTCATGCAAGTCCTGATACTCATTCGTCCTCATAAAAGCAGTTCTCTTATGTTTACTCTTAGTCAGGTACTAAATAATTCCACCTGCTGTAGTTACACAACTGCTACTTTTGACCTCACACAATGGCAATACAGTAGCCTCTTCAAAACAAATGATTTTGCTTTTGTGTTTGTTTCATGTGCATTTGTGAATGCTTGCCATGTGCAAAGCATTGATCTTTGTAATTAGTGTTTACTCTGTGAGCTTGAATATCTGCCCACAAGAACCTGTCTGCTGGTGCATGTTGATCAATAATAACATACTCTTTAAAAATACTCAATAATACATGCTCTTTAAAAATACTCAATTCATTAGCAAAGCCAGTTTCAAATGGGAGGATTTGTTTTTTATCTATGCTTTGCTCAAATTCTACCTGCCTCTCCAAGTTCTAAATGTTTTTTGCTGCTTGTTGATACCCATCCCTTATCTTCATTTCTAGGTGATGCTGAAATATACAAAAGGTTGTCATAAGACATAACTTTACCTAAGGCTGACTGTATAAAAAGTAGTAAATATTTTAAGTTGCAGATTTAATACAACTTTGCTTATAAGTGAGACTCTAAAAATCAATGTTAAACCTTTCCAAAATCTTAGAAATACACAGTTGCAATGAGTAATTTAGCTCTTACAACCTGCAGTTGCAAGTGATATTAAAACAATCCAAGAGGATAGGAAATAATGAAATGAAATACTCCCAAGATGTAATAGAGACTCAAATTGATAGACAGCTCCTGAGATAGCAGTTCTTTTTGTGGCAGAACTAAAATGTTGATCCAAAAATAGTTTGTGTTCCAGGGGTTAAGGTTTTTCACAGTAGTAGGCTACGTAACAGTAATCAAAAGACACTGGAAAGAAAATTCTATTGAAAAAGCCCTTGGAACTAAATAAAATGATGGTTTCTGAGTTTTGGTTTTGGATTTCAGATTAATTGCCTACTGACATCAGTATTGTTCTTGAGTATTACAAAGTGAGTAGCCTCATTATTTCCTCATTATTTACTTGCATTGTTACTAAAAAACCTTAATCAGGAAGAGTTCGGTAACTTTGCCCATGTTTACTTGCAAACTTTAACAAAGTGGCATTGATACAGTGT